CTGCATTTTGGATGTTCATTTGACCTTTTTCTACTTACAGTTGTTATTTCTACTGAAATCTACGAAAATGTCCTTGACACAGTAAACATTTTTTTCTATTATATCCTTTTGTGATATATGTAGCTTGGTTGGATTTTAAAATGTGGATCCTTTTTTTGATAGATCGATGATATAGAAGACAAACAAGGGAAGGTTTTTTTCCTTTTGCATCATGGCTCAGTTTGGAGGACAGAAGAATCCACCATGGGCTACTCAGTTTACAGCCACTGCGGTATCACAGCCAGGTCAGGCTACTAAATACATGTACTGTAAATGTTTGTGGGGGACCCCGGGCGGAGCGTCGTGGCTCACACCTGTAATCCCAGTACTTTGGGAGGCTGAGGCGGGCGGATCACGAGGTCTGGAGTTCGAGACCAGCCTAGCCCACATAGTGAAAACCCACCTCTACTAAAAATACAAAAATTATCTGGGTGTGGTAGTGAACACCTGTAATCCTAGCTATTGAGGAGGCTGAGGCAGGAGAATTGCTTGAACTCGGGAGGGGGAGGTTGCAGTGAGCCGAGATGGTGCCGCTGCACTCCAGCCTGGGTGACAGAGTGAGACTCCGTCTTAAAAAAAACAAAAACAAAACTACATGAAGTAGGCTGTCCTGATATTAAGTGTTTGCAAATTGTGAATTCATTAACTTTCTCTGAGAAACTCCATTTAAAAATCCATAGATCAACTAACAGAAAAGCTGTTTTACACAGCAGTTTAGACAGTTTTGTACTTGTTAAATACTTTAAATTGATTAACTTTTATTTTTATTTTTTAATTTTTATTTATTTATTTTTTTATAAAGACGGGGTTTCACCATGTTGGTCAGGCTGGTCTTGAACTCCCCACCTCAGGTGATCCGCACGCCTTGGCCTCCGAAGTGCTTGGATTACAGGCGTGAGCCACCGTGCCTGGCAGTGATTAACTTTTAATTGATTCAGTTATGTTAGTGGCTAGCCATTCATTCATTAGAGTATAGTGTATTTGGCATGTTAAGTTGTCAGTATTCATGAGTTATATTTTTAAAAAGTAAGTATTTAGGCCAGGTGAGGTGCCTCATGCCTGTAATCCCAGCATTAGGGTGGGTGGATCACCTGAGGTCAGGAGTTTGAGACCAGCCTGGCCAACATGGTGAAATCCTGTTTCTACTAAAGAAATACAAAAATTAGCAGGGTGTGGTAGTGCATTTCTGTATTCTCAGCTAGTCAGGAGGCTGAAGCAGAAGAATCACTTGAACCGGGGAGGCAGAGGTTGAGTGAGCTGAGATCACGATACTACACTGCAGCCTGGGTGATAAAGGGAATCTGTGTCCATAAAATGGAGACGGAGGTATTACTCTGTAGCCCAGGTGGGTCGTGAACTTTTGGGCTTAAGTGATCCTCCTACCTTGGCCTCCTAAAGTGCTGAGATTACAGGTGTGAACCACCAGAACTACCCAGTTGTTTGAATTTAAAGTAGAAAAACTCTACATTTAAAAATAAAAATTACTTGGCCTGGTGATATGCACTTGTGGTTCTAGCAATTCAGGGAGGTTGAGGTAGGAGGATTGCTAGCAATTCAGGGAGGTTGGTGTAGGAGCATTGTTTGAGCCAGGGAGGTCGAGGTTGCAGTGAGCCATGATGGTGCCTCAGTCTGAGTGAGACCCTGTCTTAAAAAAGGAGGCTGAGGCAGGAGAATTGCCTGAACCCAGGAGGCGGAGGTTGCAGTGAGCCGAGATCGTGCCATTGCACTCCAGCCTGGGTAACAAGAGCGAAACTCCGTCTCAAAAAAAAAAAAAAAAAAAAGTAAAGGAAAAAAATGAAAGAAAACCAGCTATAAAGAATTTAGTTAGTAGGCAAAGGAAAAAGATAGTTGTAAAAGCAGTGAAAGAACATCTGCATTTTCAAAATAAAGTCAACAAGACCTGGTGTGGTGGCTCACGCCTCTATCCCAGCACTTTGAGAGGCAGAGATGGGTACATCACCTGAGGTTGGGAATTCAAGACCAGCCTGGGCCGGGTGGCTCAAGCCTGTAATCCCAGCACTTTGGGAGACTGAGGTGGGTGGATCACAAGGTCAAGAGATCGAGACTATCCTGGTCAACATGGTGAAACCCCCGTCTCTACTAAAAGTACAAAAAATTAGCTGGGCATGGTGACGCGTGCCTGTAATCCCTGCTACTCAGGAGGCTGAGGCAGGAGAATTGCCTGAACCCAGGAGGTGGAGGTTGCGGTGAGCCGAGATCGTGCCATTGTACTCCAGCCTGGGTAACAAGAGTGAAACTGTCTCAAAAAAAAAGCTTTAAGTCCTTCTGTAGCTTCACATTTTCTTACTTAAACCAGTTGTGTTTAGGCATTTCAAACAAGTTTCCCAAGAATTCTACAGAATGAGATTTTGATTGCCTTTTAATTTGAATATATTTTTATTTATAATACATCTCCTACTTGTTCTTTTTTTTTTTTTTTTTTTTTTTGAGACAGAGTTTAGCTCTTGTTGCCCTGGCTGGAGTACAGTGGCGTGATCTGGGTCCACTGCAACCTCCACCTCCTGGGTTCCAGTGATTCTCGTGCCTCAGCCTCCCAAGTAGCTGGGACTACAGGTGTGTGTCACCATGTCCAGCTAATTTTTGTATTTCTTTTAGTAGAGATGGGTTTCATCATGTTGGCCAGGATGGTCTCTATCTCTTAACCTTGGAATTTACCCACCTTAGCCTCTCAAAGTGCTGGGATTACAGGCATGAGCCACCGTGCCTGGCCTGTCTCCTACTTGTTCTTTGTTGCATTTTACTTGCTTAAAATACCGGTTTTTTAATTCAAAGTTAATTTCAGAGACACTGATGTAACTTCAGTGTTCTAAAATTTGATGGAAATGATTAATTATCTAGGTGACCTTTTTCCTTAAAGATGTGGAGGCCAGGCACAGTGACTCATGTATATAATCCCAGTACTTTGGGAGGCTGAGGCAGGAGTATCAGTTGCCTCCAGGAGTTCAAGACCAGCCTGGGCAATATAGCAAATCCCCATCTGCAAAAACTCAAAAATTAGCCAGGTGTGGTAGAGCATGCCTATAGTCCCAGCTGTTGAGGAGGCTGAGGCATGAGGATTGCTTAAACCTTGGGAGGTCTAGGATGCAGTGAGCTGTGATAGTTCTACTCCAGCCTCGGTGACAGAATGAGACCCTGTCTCAAAAAAAAAAAGGAAAAAAAGAAATGAGTATTTCAGAGTTTTTATTTTATTTTATTTGAGACAGAGTTTCGCTCTTGTTACCCAGGCTGGTGTGCAATGGTGCCATCTCGGCTCACCGCAACCTCCACCTCCTGGGTTCAGGCAATTCTCCTGCCTCAGCCTCCTGAGTAGCTGGGACTACAGGCATGCGCCACCATGCCCAGCTAATTTTTTGTATTTTTAGTAGAGATGAGGTTTCACCATATTGGCCAGGATGGTCTCAATCTCTTGACCTTGTGATCCACCCTCCTCGGCCTCCCAAAGTGCTGGGATTACAGGCATGAGCCACCGTGCCCAGCCTGGGTTTTGATTTTAGTTAATCCTGATTTGGGAGATTGAAGGTCAACAGTTATATCTGCATGCAAATGAAATTTATATGAAATAGGTCGGACGCAGTGGTTTATGCCTGTAATTTCAGCACTTTGAGGCGGGCGGATCACAAGGTCAGGAGTTTGAGACCAGCCCAAGCAACATGGTGAAACCTTGTCTCTACTAAAAATACAAAAAAATTAGCTGGGTGTGGTGGCATACACCTGTACGCAGGAGGCTGAGGGAGGAGAACTGCTTGAACCCGAGGGGCGGAGATTGCAGTGAGCCAAGATTGTGCCACGGCACTCCAGCCTGAGTGACAGAGCGAGACTCCACCTCAAAAAATATATGAAATAATTATTATGGATATATTCAGATCCAAATATTTCTTTCTTTCTTTTTTTTTTTTTTTTTAAATTATAGAGATGGGGTTTCACTAAGTTGTTCAGGCTAATCTCGAACTGGGCTCAAATATCCTCTTGTCACAGCCAGCCCACATATTTCTTTTCTGTGTTAAATCATGGAAAAACAGGAATTGACTTAATTTTGATGAAACAGTAATTATTAGTAACTACTGTGTCTGGCAGCAAGTACTGTGTACTCATACTTTGGCAAATTAAGCGTGTTTTAGTTTACCATTACTGCATATGATTTGTCTGAAATTCATATGTGTATTCTGCCAATAAAATAGCTATTATAGTAGAATTATATTGCTTGTATTTCTTAACATTTGTGTTACTATTTAAATATATGTTATAATCCTTGAGACATTGAAGGTTTATAAAACTTGTCAAAGGCAAAGTCAATAGTAAATATAGGTCTCTCCTTTACGTATTTGGCAATAGAAATTTCAAATATAAATATTGAGAGGTTGAGGTGGGAGGATTACCTGAGCCCAGGGAGGTTGACTCTGCTGTGAGCCTTGATTATACCACTGCCCTCCAGCCCAGGAGACAGAGTTGAGACTCTGTCTCAAAAAAAAAAAAAAAAAAAAAAAAAAGCACTTGAAATAAGGCAGTAAGGCAGATATGATATATTAGTATTCTGTTGTTGTTGTTTGGTTGCGTTTTTTTTTTTTGAGATAGCATCTTACCTGCCAGGCTGGAGTATAGTGGTGTGGTGTGATCATGGATCACTGCAGCTTCAACCTCCCAGACCCAAGCGATCCTCCTGCTTCAGCCTCCTAAGTAGCTAGGACTCTAGGTGCCTGCCACTATGCCTCCCTCTATAGAGACAGGGTCTCCCTTTGTGGCCCAAGCTGAACTGTACTCAAGTGATCCTCCCACCTTGACCTGTTGGGATTACAGGGATGAGCCACTGCACCCAGTTTGTACTTCATATTTAGATAACTGCATCAGTAGTTATCTCTTGCTTCCAGCTACCATGCCAAATTATCTCACTTAACTTTCAGGCCCATTCTTACCTTTTTTTTTTTTTTTTTTTTTTTTACCAGTTAAACTGAATGTTTAATACATTTGTAGGAACAGAAGAAATGTAGTAAGGATTAAAATCTTATAATTACATTTGACATATTTGTAAAAGATGTTTCATTTTTCAAAGAAGTTTCCCCCTTTTCCCTATCTTTTTTTTTTTTTTTATCTTCCTCAGAGCAATAAATAGTCATTACTACATTTATGGACAAGCTGCTCTACTGTATTGGACAGTAATTATTATATCTTTACGTTTCACATCATTATTACCTCCCAAAATTCTACCTTCATTTCCCTGCACAGTTTCACAATAAAACTGTACTCCACTCAAATTAGAAGCGCCGAAACAAATGATGGCAAACAGCAGTCAAATTCATATGAATGAATGATAGAGAACCAAAGATTTTAAAGTGCTGATTTAGTAACATAGTGTCTACTGGCACAGACTTTCTATTTCATCATATTATTAAAACAACAACAACAGAAATGAAAGCTACATTAATGAAAAAGAAACTTAGGAATGAGGTCATTAAATATAACTAACTACATTTTAAATACAGATATTATGTATTTCCTGATTAGTATCCGGCAAGTATCTAGACTTCTATCCTGAATTCTGGTCTCAGATAAAAAGGTCAAAGACAGTTACAAGGAAGATGCTTCATATTATCAGGTCCATTTTTTTAATGATGAGGTCCTCTAGGAAATTGCTTTAGTCTTTCTTTTTATCAGAGATCTCTGTTGGTCCTTTTGTTGGTAATCCATTCATGTCTGCACCCTTACAGTCTACTTTGCCTTTGTTTGTATCATTGGTTTCTTGTACAGCTTTTTTAGGCCATATACGACCAACGAAGGGGGAAATCAGAGGGTATATGTATGGCTCCAGGAATTTTTTGTAGATCCAGAGCAGAACTGGAATGACAATACAAGGAATGCACACCATTGTCCTGGGCTTGAGCTCCTCAACTGTTGATACGCGACCGCGGAAGCGGAGCTGACAATGTCGGCACTTCCAGAGAGCACCTTTCTTAAACCTTTATATCCTAATACACAGTGCTTATCATAGATCCTCACTTCCCTGAGTAAGCTTTTTTCCTCCTATCTCTGACTTGCTGGTGATACCATGTCTTTAGTATTATTATTATTATTATTATTATTTTTTTTTTTTCTTGAGACAAAGTTTCGCTCTTGTTACCGAGACTGGAGTGCAATGGTGTGATCTCGGCTCACTGCAACCTCTGCCTCCTGGGTTCAGGCAATTCTCCTGCCTCAGCCTCCCGAGTAGCTGGGATTACAGGCACGCACCACCGTGCCCAGCTAATTTTTTATATTTTTAGTAGAGATGGGGTTTCACCATGTTGACCAGGATAGTCTCAATCTCTTGACCTCGTGATCCACCTGCCTCAGCCTCCGAAAGTGCTGGGATTACAGGCTTGAGCCATCGCGCCTGGCCCTAGTATTATTATTTTAAATTCTAACTGCTTGCTTTTATTTGCTTTACTCTTGGTTACTAAATATGCTACTTCTTCTTTTTCCTCCAGCTTCAGTTCATCTGTCAGATGTGATATTTCTAAAACATAGTTTCTGTCAAAATCACAGAATTTTTTCAGAGCTGGATCAGGCCTAAACTAGATTTTTTTTTTTTTCTTTAGAGAGTCTTGTTCTGTCACCCAGGCTGGAGTGCAGTGTTGTGATCTGGGCTCACTGCAATCTCCACCTCCTTAAGTATATTTGATGAAATATATATATATAGAGAGAGGTACCTTCAGTATATTCGATGAAAAATATTTACATGCATATCTGTATTTAAACTATTAAAATATGGAGGTGGATTTGCCAGATTCAGTTCAGACCCATTCTCTCACCCATTTCTTTTTTCTTTTTTTTGAGACAGAGTCTCACTTTGTCACCAGGTGCCAGGCTGGAGTGCAGTGGCACAATCTCGGCTCACCGCAACCTCTGCCTCCCGGGTTCAAGCAATTCTCCTGCCTCAGCCTTCGGAGTAGCTGGGACTACAGGTGCATGCCACCACACCCAGCTAATTTTTGTATTTTTAGTAGAGATGGGGTTTCACCATGTTGGCCAGGATGGTCTTGATCTCTTGACCTCGTGATCCACCCACCTTGGCCTCCCAAAGTGCTGGGATTACAGGCTTGAGCCACCGTGCCCGGCCTTATATATTTTTTTAAAAATATCCATTTCATTTATTCTTTTGTTCTCTGAAAAGCGTAGCACCGCTTCATTTTTTGATTTCATTTTTAAAATATTTTTAGCTAAGGAAAAAAGACATCCAAAAGTAAACCTGGAATTTGTTTTTTGTTGTTTTTGTTAGGTTTTCGAGACAGGGTCTCACTGTTGCCCAGGCTGGTCTCAGATTCCTTCGCTTTAGGGATCACTCAGCCTATGAATGTTGTCTTCAACTGCCTAGGGGGATTAACCAACAGTTATTTGAATTGTAGTAAGAAGAGGCGATTGCCAGGAGCACTAGTAATCACTTCAAAGGACTTCAGAGAGCAGAATCTGCTGGGACATTATAGACAGTATAAGAAGCTCATATAGCAATAAGGCTTTTCCTTTCCCTTATAGAACAGCACTGTCCAATATGTAGAACTTTCTGTGATAATGAGCATGTGCTATATTTGCATTGTAGGATATGATACCCACTAACTACATGTGACTGTTAAGCCCCTGAAATATACTTAGTGTGACTGGGGAACTGAATTTGTAATTTTATGTTAATTTTTATTAATTTAAATGAAATACCGTGTATTTGGTGGTTAGTGAATTGGACAATACAGTTATATAAGATGATAATGCTTGGAAAAGATGATATTTAAAATATTATTTTGTAGCCAGGCATGATGATGACTCACTCCTGTAATCCCAGCACTTTGAAGGGGTTGTTTGTTTCTAGTAGTTTAAGACCAACCTGGGCAGCATAGTGAGATACTGTTTCTACAGAAAACACAAAATTAGCCAGATGTGGTGGCACATGTTGGTAGTCCCTCTGGAGTCTGAGTCAGGAGGATTGAGCATGGAGGTTAAGACTACAGTGAGCTGTGATTGTGCTACCATATCACAGCTTGGGTGATAGAATGAGACCCTGTCTCAAAAATACTATTTTGTGTCTTAATTTCTTTTTTCCTTTTTGAGACAGAGTCTCTGTTACTCAGGCTGGAGTGCAATGGGGCAATCGTGGCTCACTGCAATCTCCGCCTCCTGAGTTCAAGTGATTTTCTTGCCTCAGCATTCTGAGAAGCTGGGATTACAGGTTTGCACCACCATACCTGGCTAATTTTTTGTATTTTTATTTATTTATTTTTTTTGAGATGGAGTTTCGCTGTTGTTACCCAGACTGGAGTGCAATGGCACGATCTTGGCTCACCGCAACCTCCACCATCTGGGTTCAAGCAATTCTCCTGCCTCAGCCTCCCGAGTAGCTGGGATGACAGGCGCGCATCACCACGCCCAGCTAATTTTTGTATTTTTAGTAAAGACGGGGTTTCACCTTGTTGACCAGGATGGTCTTGATCTCTTGACCTTGTGATCCACCTTCCTTGGCCTCCCAAAGTGCTGGGATTATAGGTGTGAGCCACCGTGCCTGGCCCTTCAAAGTGCTAGGATTACAGGTGTGAGCTGCCGAGCCCAACCTAATTTTTGTTTTTGTTTTAAAGACGGGGTTTCACCATGTTGGTCAGGCTGGTCTCGAACCCGCAAACTCAGGTGATGCACCTACCTTGGTCTCCAAAGCGCGTGGATTACAGGTGTGAGCCACCGTGCCCAGCCAGTATTTTTAGTAAAGATGGGGTTTCACCATGTTGGCCAAGTTGGTCTCAAACTCCTGACCTCATGATCCGCCCAACTCGGCCTCCCAAAGTGCTGGGATTACAGGTGTGAGCCACTGTATCCAGCCCTGTGCCTTAATTTCTTAGTCTTAATTAATTGATAATATCCAGTCATTGAGTACAGTATGGGCTGAGAATAGAACCTCGAAGGCCCCAACCATGGATTGACCAATGACTTGGCTAATTTGAAGAAAGTTACTGGGTATAGGGTCATCAGAGATTTTGTACTTGTGAAATCTAGTCTTTAAATACCACATCTTAGGAAGGATACTGAATAGAAAGTTTGTTTAGAAGAGTTTTGTTCACTTGATTTAAATTAAATCTGGGTTCATAAGTATTTTAGTAAATTCACAAGTTGGGTTTTTTTTTTTTTTTGAGACCGAGTTTTGCTCTTGTTTCCCAGGCTGGAGTGCAATGGCGCGATCTCCGCTCACCGCAACCTCCGCCTCCTGGGTTCAAGCAATTCTCCTGCCTCAGCTAATTTTTTGTATTTTTAGTAGAGATGGGGTTTCACCATGTTGACCAGGATGGTCTCTTGACCTCGTGATCCATCCGCCTCGGCCTCCCAAAGTGCTGGGATTACAGGCTTGAGCCACCGCGCCCGGCCTGTATATATGTTTTTTTAGTAGAGATGGGGTTTCACCTTGTTGACCAGGATGGTCTTGATAGCTTGACCTGTGATCCACCTGCCTCAGTCTCCCAACGTGCTGGGATTATAGGAGTGAACCACTGTGCCCAGCTGGGTTTTTTTTTTTTTTTTTTTTTTGAGATGGAGTCTCACTCTGTTACCCAGGCTGGAGTGCAGTGGCATGATCTCAGCTCACTGCAACCTCTGCCTCATGAGTTTAAGCAATTCTCCTGCCTCAGTCTCTCAAGTTGATGGGATTATAGGCACCTGCCACACCTTGTGGCTAATTTTTGTATTTTTAGTAGAGACAGTTTCACCAAGTTACCCAGGCTGGTCTCGAACTCCTGATCTTAGAGGTTCAACTGTCTTGGCCCCCCAAAGTGCTGGGATAACAGGCATGAACCACTGCGCCCAGCCCTAAATTCACAAGTTTTAAAAAATTGACAAAAATCAAATAATTGATAAAATTGATATTTTTAAAATTTGATAGAATTGGAAAAGCAATAATGATATTAAACTTTATTTATTTATTTATTTTATTTTATTTTATTTTATTTTTTTTGAGGCTGAGTTTTGCTCTTGTTACCCAGGCTGGAGTGCAGTGAATGGCGCGATCTCAGGTCACCGCAACCTTTGCCTCCTGGGTTCAGGCAATTCTCCTGCCTCAGCCTCCTGAGTAGCTGGGATTACAGGCACGCGCCACCATGCCCAGCTAATTTTTTGTATTTTTAGTAGAGATGGGGTTTCACCATGTTGACCAGGATGGTCTCGATCTCTTGACCTCATGATCCCCCCGCCTTGGCCTCCCAAAGTGCTGGGATTACAGGCGTGAGCCACCACTCCGGGCCTGATATTTAACTTTAAAACAAAATTTCTTTTGGTCGGGCATGGTGGGTCACGCCTATAATCTCAGCACTTTGGGAGGCCGAGGTGGGTGGATCACCTGAAGTCAGGAGTTCGAGACCAGCCTGACCAACATGGTAAAACCCCTGTTTCTATCTACTAAAAATAAAAAATTAGCTGGGTATGGTGGCATGTGCCTGTAATCCCAGCTACTTGGGAAGCTGAGGCAGGAGAATTGCTTGAACCCAGGAGTGGGAGGTTGCAATGAGCCGAGAACTCACCACTGCACTCTAGCCTGGGCAACAAGAGTGAAACACTGTCTCAAAAAAAATTTTTTTTTGGTAGAAACGGAGGTCTCACTATATTGCCCAGGCTGATCTTGAATGCAGTCTTGAGTTGGCCCCCTAGGGTGCTGGAATTACAGGCATGAGCCACTGCACCTGGCCTCTAAACTTTTTTTTAGTGACTTAATATTTCAGGGTCTGTTGTAAGCCTAAGAAGAATTGATTTGTCTTAAGAGAATTCCCCACATTTCCTGAAATATCTCAGGGGGAAAGCAAAAAAAAAAAAAAAAGAATTCCCTACATCATTATGTTGTATTTGTCTCCAAATAGCTTCACACTGATTTTTTTTTTTCCTATTTATTAGTTTTTCAGCTCATTTATAGCTGTTTATTTCTTTTTAGAGACAGGGTCTTGCTTTGT